CCCCAAAACCCCAAAACCCCAAAACCCCTAAAATCTCCTCTTAGTTGTAATAATTTATTTAGCAAAATGAATTTTATGAAAGACCTCTTCCGTAACAAAAGCAGGAAGCCCAAGCGAGCTGATACTCGCCAAAAGAAGGAAAAGAAGAGAGGGTTTAGCATAGGAAAGATCCACTTCGGTAAGAAGCCAAAGGAGCAGGAGCCTAAGCCAATGAATTTTGATTTTTCTAATCAAAATAAATAAGATTGATTTCTCAAAAGGAAATCCGATCAGATATGGCAAAAAGCATGATTTTGACCTTAGGAATATGGCTCATGTTGGAGTTAACATCTACGAGCATACAAGTAAAAGATACCAAGATTTACTAAAACAGTGGAGTGCTTTTGAGAACGCCATTCGTCAATGAAGGGATGATGAAAATGTACAAGGGTACATACGTTCCTTTGATAGTATGGAAATCCCATTGAATAAGATTGTTGATTACCTTTGTGAAGAAGATCTTGAAAACCGTAAGAACCATACCATCGGAGAGTGATTGGAATATTTCATGTCACAGAATATTTTTGATATCTTAGGATCATACACCAAATCAGATCGACCTCGGGGATTCTTTAGAATTGGCTGTCGTGCAATTACTGAGCTAATTGTGTGAATAAATTCAACATCTATTCTTTCTCAGAAAAATATCCATCATACTTTATGAATGATGTTGAATTCAATTCTGCTTTCCATAATTAACAAAACAGAGCTTGATGCTTATAAAGAGGAAATAGTAGATCTAGTATTCTCTATTTGCCAAAGAGCATACAACGAGCCCTATATTGTAAATTTGTTCTTCTCAAATGTCAAGAAATTATCAACTAAAAAGTCAGAAAGAGGAGAGTACCTTCCTCTTGAGATTCTTTTGAGCATAATGAAAGAGATGAAGAGCAATGAGTCCAATATCTCTTATGTCCAGCGGTGCTTCCACACGTTCAAGATTGTCATGCGGACTAACAGCAAACCTCTGGATGAATACATCATGAATGAAAGCTGCTTAATCGAAGTTGTTATAAACAAGCTTGTCACTCTTTATAAAAGTATGCCTGAAACAGTTACTAAGAAGAACAAGATCCATTTCAAGCAAGCAGCTATTAAGAAAGCCAAGAAGCAAGTCGATCGCAAAAAATTGAAAAAGCTTAAAATTCCTGGGGAAAAGATTAAGATAAAGAAGATCAAGTACAAAAATAAGAATCAAGAGAATTTAGGAATTCGAAATTTGATCCAAATAGTGTATGGCGAGTCATTCGGACCTCTTAATGGAGACCAAGATATCAGCAGTATTCAGATCTGCAATTTCGATGCCTTCATGAGCTTCTTCTGATTTTTCAATGACCTCATTGACTGTACAATTAATAAAGTGATGGTGGATAATCTCATTATCCAGTTTTTCAATAATTTATTGCTTGAGGTTGTCCAACCTCTGCTACTAACTAGTGAAGATTTTATTGTAAAGAGGACTTGAATCCAGTATCTAGTCCATATGGTTCATCTTTCCAATTCATCCAGAGTTACCAGAATAATCTTCTTTTTCCTCTTCGGATTTCCTGAAGGCACAGAGAATCTTGAGGAAGAGAAATCAGCTGTGGAAGAGCATCATTCTAAGGATGAGAAGGAAGAGAATAAAGTTGAAGAAGATGAATATAAAATTGAAGAGATAGATGACATGCTTGACTTCATGCAAAATGATCAGCTCTTTGTACACAATGGCAATTTTGAAGATCAAGATTTGTTTAAATTAGATGAAGACTTTATCATTCCCAAAGATGATCCTTTGCTTGCAGATGACCCTCTCCTTTTTGAGGACCCTTTGCCTCCTGATGATCCTCTATTTGGAAGTAATATTGATGAGGAAATGCCAATGGTAAGGATTGGAAATCAAATGATGGCAGGTCCTCAGCAGACTAATAACCCAGAACCAGAGGCAAGACGAAGAGATCGTGGAAGGGATGCTAATAAGAACTCTGGAAAAAGAGGAGCAAGAAGCGTCTCTGTCCTTGCTATCAAAGATCCCAAAGCAGAACTTGACGTACTAGCCTCCATTCTTGATGGAGTTGAGAAGGTCGAGAAAGAAGTAAAAGACAACTTTGAGAAAGAAGAAGAGGCAGACTTCCAAGTCAAAATTAAGACATCTAAACACCTTGTAGGTGAACTTTCAAAATCTATCGTTATGGGTATAATTTCTGATGAAAAATACATGTCTACTGTTAGTCTGAAATTGATTGAAATCTTTCTCAAAACTAGAGATAAAGAGGTATTAGAAGCTCTCGTCTACAGATGAATCAGATACCTTTCAGAAGACGAGCCTGATGATATTAATATTTGAGAATATTTCGAGAAGGAAGTTCTTCAAAATCAAGAAGAAGTGAAAATTGATCCTAATAAAAATTGAAACTCACAAAGTAAGCTATTAAGATAAGTTCTAGATCTTTCAAATCTTACAACAAGTGATACTGAGAACTCTGAAACTAAAGAAGGAGAGAGATCACTAATTAAGAGATTTAATAGCAAATTATCCTTAATCCAGATGACTCTTAACCCAAAGAGCGACTTCTTCATGTTTGATGACGAATTTCTAGAATCCGGGTTACTTTTTGCAGTCCTGCTCAAAAAGTTATCAAGCATGCTGAATAACCCAAGAATTGATAATTTAATCCTGACAGAAATATGGCTTCAGATAGGTTCGCTACCTGTAGATAGAGAAAGACCAGAGACATTTTACCTCTATGCGTTTTGTTTTCAGGATATCTCGAGTAATTCCTTCTAACTAATTATAGAACTTGCAAATTCTATGTCTAAAATAGGTCTATTTGCTTCAGTAGAAAGCATTCATGAGCAAATCTCAAAGTGCAACTTAGGGGAGGACCTTGACCCTCTGCTTTTCTATCGTAAGAAGGAACTAAAGGTCATTCCAGAAGACTCTATTCCTCCTCTAAGCTCACGTACTGAGGAAGAATACCTTAACATAATTTCTGGGAAGACAAATAGAATCGATGCGATCATGGTTTTCCAAGAATTCTTGAAGGAATATACTTCCTTATCACATTTCCAGAGATGGTTTATCAAGATGATTAACAAGTAAGTCCCTATGTTAACACCTAGATACGATCAGGTCCATCAGGAAGATATTGAGTTTGACACTCTCATCCAGCATCTGTAAACAAGTAATTATTTTCAACCAGAAATCTTCATTTTGGGGTTTTGGGGTTTTGGGGTTTTGGGGTTTTGGGG